AGGAAGTGAATAGAAAGACAAGCGCGACTATGAGGACGCACGTAAAAGTGCGGGACAAGCAACGAGCCGACCAAGTTTTATGGTGATTAAAGTTCGTCTCTATCCGCGTGAATGGAAGGAGTCTGAGCATCCTGAGTCGGAAGATCGGGCATCCCAATCGAACGGGCCTCGTCAGTCCTCCCACCACCACCCTCCTGATTCTGCTCGACAAGAGGATCCTCAAGATGAGGAGCCAGGACAGACCGGCCAAGCTGGTGCAACCGGTCCAAAAACCGCCGATATCGGGCGTCCAAGTCGGCCTGGAACCGCCGATGGATCCGGTCGACTAGCGCCTCAGTCGCCTCGATCTCGCGGTAAAACGACGGCCGGATCAGCCGCTGCTTGATCATCTCTTCCTGTCCTTCTTCCTCCTTTCGCTCTTCACCATCACCATCACCATCATTGTCAGCATCATCAGGATTGGTGGGGTCGTCTTCCAGCTCGGGGTCTTCGGGTTCTTCGGCCCGGTCAGACACTGTTACAGTTGTTGAAGAAGAAGAAGAAGAAGGAATCGTGCCATTGACCATGATCGACTCTAGCTTCCTCTTCACCAACGCCACCTCGCGATTGATGCGATTATAAACTAGCCCGGAAAAAACACACACACACCGGGAGATTACAAAGCATGAACATCGATCACCTGGACCAGATGACAAAAAGCGAAAAAAAGGGGAGGAGGAAGAGGAACGAACCGGCCCAATCATGATAGGTGACATCGCTCAACCAGGTAAGACCGTGTCCGAGTCTTGCGACATGGGAATCGAAGAAGAGGCCGACGGGGTTCCAGAGGGGCTCGAAGACGTGGTCGGTTTCGAGCCGGAGCTGGGCCTGCTTGAAGCGGGCCAATTGGAGCAGATAGACGGAGACCAAGCGTTGGTCGACTTTCTGGAGGGCTTTATTGCGGACCAGATCGGCTTGGACGATCTGCTCGTCGATCGTGTTCTTTGCCGGCCCCGGATCCTCCGGGTTCTGCGTGGAAAGAACCGAGCCCAGTTTCGTCTCGGCCCGGTCGAACCATTTCACCACTCTTTCCAACAAGCGCGCCATCTCCTTCTGGATCGCTTGCGGCTTCTTCTCCCGATCAACTAGCTCGTCTAGCTCCGAAACTCGTTCCGCACTCCGCTTGCCGTTCAAGAGTTCAATCAACGCCGGGATCTGCGTCGCTTCGGTCTCGCGGATCTTCGCCAAAAGCTCGGCTGATAGCGCTTCCAAGTCCCGCCGTTGAGCCGCGATCTCTGCAGGCCCATGTCGGCCCCTCGCTCCCCCCTCTTCTTCTTCTTCTCCTTCCCCTTCTTGGGGTTCGGTGCTTGCCGGTGTGGGTGCGGAGGAGGAAGTGGTCGAGGCAAGCTCATCATCGATCTCATTCATAAACTCTACAAAAAAAGGGGGATACCAATAACATGATCAGAAAGATTTGATTTTTCTTATCAACTCAAGTCAAAATTTACCGTCTACATCCACCGTCAAATTATCATCTTCGATCTCTCCAGGAAGTAGTTCGGATTCTTCAACGCCGTCGTCCGATTCGACTTGGGCCTCGACTTGATCATGAACAAGATCATGATCATCAGAGGGAGAGGAGGAGGAGGGGGGACTAGAAGTGTCTAGAGGAGACGAGCAAGCTGGCTCATCGTGTTCCTCAACCACCGACGGAAGGTGATCGAGCGACACTTGTTCTACAATGGATTTGGATTCCTCTTGTTCTTGGGCATGGATTGGGAAAGTATCAGTGGAGGTAGCTTGGACTTTGTCTTGTTCTTGTTCCCGGACTGGCTCGATCACTGGCTGGACTAGATCTTCGTCATCTGCTCCAGATAATGATGGTGCTGGAATCTCTCGATCATCATCGGTGGCCGCAGAAGAAGAAGGGATTGCAGAAGCATGGTGGTGATGATCATCGTCGACGGATGGAGGAATCGGTTGATGATCTACCTTTTCTTGATGAACAATCGGACTGGTAGTAGTAGTATTAATGACGGAGGAGGAGGAGGAGGACGAGTTTCGGTTGTGGTTGTATTCGTTGAGTTTGAGGACGATCTTCCTGATCTGGGGTTTGACGTAGATGGAATGTAAGGCCTTGACGGGTCTAAGGAGCCGATTTCTGTAGGTGAGTTTGAGGGTTTTGAGCTGGTTTTTGAGCGGATTATCGTTGATGAAGAGGGTCTGATAAGATGATCTAGCGAGGGAGATGAGATGAGGGTGGAGATGGATTTGGTAGAAGTTGAGGAGATTGGGGAGGACGGATTGACGGAGTGGACGGAGGATGTTGTGATGGAGGAAGCGATTGAGGAGTGGGAGATAGTCGGTCTTGAGGGTCCGGACGAGGGCCGAGTGGGTGAGGGTGGAGTATGCTTGACGGGATTGAGCGGCGAGGAAGCGTAGTCGAGGGAGCAGTTTTTGGCGGTACCTCTGAGCGACATGGTCGCGGATCGGGGCGAGGTAGAGAGTGGTGAGTTTGGAGGCCTGGAGGGGCAAGCCTGAGCGTTGGAGGTATTCCTGGGAAAGGTCCTAGGTCCTGGAGAGCTGCGGATACAGATGATCGGTCTATGCTGGGCCTAGATACTGGTCGTATATCGGCCGCAGTTTCCGGTCCACTCGGGCCCTCAATGGCGACCGGATCTCGGCGTCGAACTGCTCCAGATACGGCGAGAGGTGCGGAGCTAGTTTCCAATGTAGCTCGGCTAGGTTCCGACAGATCGTCGGGTTCGTGCTCGGGTCTTTCGGACAGAAGTAGAAATAGGCGAGCAGGATGTAGCAGATCAGGACTTGGAGGAGGAACGATATCCATCGGGAGGTGGATGATTTTCTTCTTTTTGAGAGTTCTTTTCGTACTACTAGGGGAATTCGATGATGGTTTCTTGGGTTTGAGTTTCTGTATATATTTCCAACCAAGTCAGTTGATGATGAGATGAGGAGGAGGATGA